GCGCCACCATGCCCAGCTAACTTTTTGTATTTTTAGTAGAGATGGGGTTTCACCATGTTGACCAGGATGGTCTCGATCTCTTGACCTCGTGATCCACCCGCCTCGGCCTCCCAAAGTGCTGGGATTACAGGCGTGAGCCACCACACCCGGCTTCTTTTTTTTTCTTTTTTGTTTCTTTCAATGCAATTCTAAGGTCAACCAGCTCTGCAAGGTAGCACTAGATTTATGTTGGTTTCCTACAACATTGTAGATGACATTCAGAGTGATTAAGAGGATAGACTTGAGCCAGATTACTTCAGTTCCAATCGTAGCTCTGCTACTTGCTAGCTGTAATCATGGGCAAGTTACTTAAACCTTTGTGCCTTCTTAATAAATTAGAGGTAATAGTGGTATGAAGCTCATGTGGATGTTTTGTGTAGCGAATCAGTCCGTGCAGAAAAGTAATATAGGAACAGTTTCTGACAATAGTGCTTGGCACATTGCAAATATTCAACCATGTTGGCTATTATGATTATAATAATTATTATTGTGTGCAGATGATGCAGACAAACATTTATGAGTCTAATATTTATAATCTATAATCTATTCATTCATTTTACAAATGCATTGAGTGCCTACTCTGTCCCTACTATGTGACAAGCTTTGAAGATAAGGCAGAAAACACAAACTCAAGATATAGGGATCTCAGTAAAATATCAAGCCATGAGATTTAGTCAGGAAGGTCTGCCTCACCCTTCCCTTCCCCTACCCCTCCCTTCCCTGCCCTTCCCTCCCCTCCCTTTCCCTCTCTTCCCCCTCCCCCTTCCCTTCTGCTTTCCTCCCCTCCCCTCCCTTCCCCTTCCCCTCTCCTTCCCCTTCCCCTCTCCTTTCCCTTCTCCTCTCCCTACCCTTCCCCTCCCCTCCCCTTCCCGCCTCTCCCTTCCCTTCCCTTTCCTCCACTTCCCTTCTCTTTTGGATGGGGTCTTGCTCTGTCTCCCAGGCTGCAGTACAGTGACACAATCTCAGCTCACTGTAACCTCTGCCTCCTGGGTTCAATCAATTCTCCTGACTCAGCCTCCCAAGTAGCTGGGATTACAGGCACCTGCCACCATGCCTGGCAAATTTTTCTATTTTTAGTAGATATGGGGTTTCACCATGTTGGTCAGGCCGGTCTCGAACTCCTGACCTCAGGTGACCCACCTGCCTCAGCCTCCCAAAGTGCTGGAATTACAGGTGTCAGCCACTGTGCCTGGCCAGGAGGGACTTTCTATTAGAAGTTGAATTGATACAGACCTACTTGGCACATATATAGAGCTGAAACGACCTAGATGGTCAGCATGTTCCCTCCATAAATAGAGTCAAATTATCTGTAATCTCAAATGTGCTTTTTCCAAAAACAGATTTTTCAATTAAAGAGTGGCTTTTAATGAGTGACTTTGCTATACTGTTATTAAAAATGGGTCTATAAAATGCAAATGTTAGACATGTATGAAGCAGAATTGACATTAAGTTACAGGAAGAAAAGAGACTGAATTCAGTTCTCAAGGGGAATAAAAAATCTCCCCAGCCTACACTTCGATGGACTTCTGAGATTGTATCTATGAAAGTCAAACACTTCTATGATAACTAAGATATAATTACTGGTGTATGATCACAGACTACTATGATGACTTGTTTCTGGCAATATGTTTCTTTATAATATTGCTGGATAGCATGGAAAGCAGTAAAAAATGGCTTTCCAAAATAATCATTCTCTATCTTCTCTAGTCTTGAGATAAGAAGTTTTAATAATTATTTACAATAAAAGATAACTGGAGCATGAAATGACCATGAAAAACATATTTGCATAGTTGTGCAGAAACATTAACATGCAATTATGTCTTAATACTAGATATAAAATAGCTGAAATGGAAGATGGAAGATTTAGTGAGATCTTTTTCCAATAACTTCAACAGAATATTTTTTATATGTTTTTAGAATGTATCCTAGAGACAGGACCTTCTTGCTAAGTAAATGCTAAAAAAAAAAAGCCTTATGTAAAAAATTAAAAAGAGTTTTAAAGTCCATATTTAAGACCCAGAAAGAAAAATAATATTCTTTTGATAACACATAGCATTTATGTAGTATACTGAATTATCAGGTTTTTATCACTAATTCATTTTGGTTTAGTTTAATGCATTGAAAATATCCTATCTCAACTGCATTTTAAAATGCATCAAAATCATAACTTTGTTTCTGATATACACACCTTCATTTGCCCATCTTTTTCAGGTTTATTCCCTGCGGTCCTGAATCTTGCTTCTAATGCTCTTATCATGACCAATGCAACATGTGGAGAAAAGGGACCTGAAATGTACTGCAAATTGGTAGAACACGTCCCTGGGCAGCCTGTGAGGAACCCCCAGTGTCGTATCTGCAATCAAAACAGCAGCAATCCAAACCGTATGTATTTTAGTGTGTATTCTGTATGACACTGGGTAGGATCTATAATTGTGAGATGTTGAGGCCAAGTTGCATTAAATTCAAAGGGTTTATAATCCTTAGAATTCTTTTTCCCACTATAAGCTTCTTCCAGCGCCCTCTGTCATTCAGCAAACATTATGGGAGTTTTTCTATGTACCAAGTACAGTGATTGGAGATGATTTGCCATCTGAAGGCCTGTGGCAGTCATTGGGTTTACTAACTTCAGATACCAGAATGGTTTCTGAGGATGTGGTTATTAACTCAGGCTATCATCATTCACTGGAATTTATGTGCCACATATTGTGCCTAAGATCTGGGAGGAATAAGGTAGGGTATGGTCTTTGAGCTTCTGATAAATAGTGTGGTAAGTAGAATGCAAAGAATGTGCACAAGGTTCTGCAGAAGAGGATGGCCACAAAGTCAGTCTTGGTGTAAGTAAGGATTGCCAGAAGAAGCGATATCCAAGCTGATAACTAAGAATATGAGCTAAACAAGAGTATGAGCTAAACAGGTAAATAAGTGATGGAGGGGAAGAGAAGTCTTGTCAGGAAGAGAAATCAGAATTACACAGAAAATCCTAGTTACTCAGGGAGCTTCAATTAGTTGGGAATAACTAGAACTGAAAGGGCCAAAGGGAAGTGTGGAGATGAGCCTAGAGCAGAAGGCTAGAGCCATATTATGAAGGCATTTAACAACCACAGGAGAAGTGATTTAGGGAGAGGCACCATGCAAAGCCCTCTTTCTGGCCTCTATGAACCACAGTGATACCTCAGACTCATTGTTGTATTTATTCAACAAGCCTTTGAACACCTCCTACTAGCAATGCATTGTATTGGAGCATAATATTGAATTCCACATAATCCCTGATTCAGAGAAACTAGAGGGGAAATAGAGGCAAAAGAAAAGTAAATTTGGTGCTAAAGGAACATGAATGCTCCATGTAGATGCTAAGGTCATCTAAAGATTCCTGGATAAGGAATCTATATATATCTCTATCTAGATATATCTACATCTATCTTTCTGACATGCCTTCTCTTCTCCACCCTACCTCTCTCTCTGTCTCTCTCTCTATATAATATATCCAAAGGTGGATATATACTTATATGTAATCTATATAAAAAGATATATATATATATTTTATTTATATTATTTTTTAATACATAGATATATATATTTTATTTTTATTTTTATTTTGCTTTTGAGACAGAGTCTCATTCTGTCACCCAGGCTGGAGTGTGGTGGTGCAATCACAGCTCACTGCAACCTCCATCTCCCAGGTTCAAGTGATTCTCCTGCCTCAGCCTTTCAAGTAGCTGGGACTACAGGCATGTGCCACCATGCCTGGCTATTTTTTGTATTTTAAGTAGAGATGGGCTTTTACCATGTTGGCCAAGCTGGTCTGAAACTCCTGACCTTAAGTGATCCACCTGCCTCAGCTTCTCAAAAGATAGTTTTTTATTAATATCATTTTATATAGAATATATAAAAAGGTAGATACATATTATATATATATATATATATATATATATATGAGTCTGTGTATATGTACAGAGAGAGAAAAGAGGTTAATAAAACTTTACGCCAATTGAGGTGAACTATGATGGGGCTAAACTTTCACAATTATATTATTTTAAAATTTGCTCAATATTTTTTCTCTGTCCTTTTTAATAGACTTTATTTTTAGAACAATTTGAGGTTCACAGCAAAATCGAGAGAAAAGTATAGAAATTTCCCATATATCCCCTGCCCCAACACATGTGTAGACTTCTCCATTATCAATATCCCCCTGCAGAGTGCTACATTTGTTACAGTCCATGAATCTACATTGACAACATTATCATCCAGAGTTCATAGACTGCATTAGGGTTTAGTTGTTCACACAAGTCCCAATTCCTCAAATATAGTAATGTTTTCTACATTCCTAAATTATATAATGAGGAATTGGGAATTGCATGATTAAAATTGGTGGTCATGTATATCACAGAATGTTAGAAAAACACATGTTAAGACACCAAAGAAGGCAACCACCAGAAACCTTCCTTACCTATTAATGATTCTGGTTAATTTCTTTCCTTTTTTTTTTTTAATTTTTTTTTTTTTTGAGATGGAGTCCCTGTTGCTTATGCTGGAGTGCAGTGGCAGGATATCGGCTCACCACAAACTCCGCCTCCAAGGTTCAAGCGATTCTCCTGCCTCAGCCTCCAGAGTAGCTGGTATTACAGGCATGTGCCACCATGAGTGACCAATTTTGTATTTTTAGTAGAGACGAGGTTTCTCCATGTTGGTTAGACTGGTCTCAAACTCCCGACCTCAAGTGATCTGCCTGCCTCGGCTTCCGAAAGTGCTAGGATTGTAGGCATGAGCCTCCGCGCCCAGCCGACTCTGGTTAATTTCTAGGATATAAGTTGTTAGGATATGTGTATAGGAGTGGGGAGTATTGTTGCATACTCAAATGTTTGCTATTTCTTGTATAGAATGCAAGAGCAAAGGACATATGTCAGAGCCCTTTGCTTTTATGTAAAAGCCAAGGAAGTTAGGGGAAATGCAGTTAAGGAAGGCAATAGAGGGAAACAGATTTCAAGGAAAAAAAATCAGGAAAATGAAGCATTGGATACATGATAAAGGAAAGAATTGTCAGGAAGAAAAAGCAATCAACAGTTTTAAATGCTTCCAAGATAATTGAGTAAGAAAATAGGTTTCCCTTGCTTTTGACAACAATGCCACCCTTTGATCACCTTACTAAAGTACTCAGCAGATTTAATGTGGCAAGAGGCACACCGAAGAGGTAATAAATGAATGAGGAAGAAGAAGAGGTGAATATAGAAATATTCTTTCAAGTATCCTTGATGTGAAAGAGAATGAAGGGCAGAGGAGGCTGTGGGGTTGCGAAGGTTCTCAAAGGTAGGGGACATTTGAGCTAGTTTAGATGCTTAGGGAAAAGGCCAGGGAAGTTGACGACAAAGTAGTGGTGGGGATGATATCGCTCTAGAAGTAAAAACATATGGGTCATTAAGCATAGGTGAAAAACTTATATTGAAAGATACATACTTTTAATTCACCAAATCAGAAAGAAGGAAGGATAAATAGCAGCAGACAGCAGAAAGTATTGGGAGAAATTTCTTATTTGATGATCTTGATTTCTTCATTAAGATATAAATCTGGGTTATCTGCTGAGGCAAGAAGCAAACATTTAGATTATGAGCCTCTCAGGGGACTAGGAGGGAATCACTGAGCCATAATAAGAATAAAGTGGCAATTCCATATGGAGTAAAATAAAGAATCAAACATTTCGACTGATACTCTTGGAGCATTACAGGGAAAGTGGAATGGAAGAAGATGGCAAAAAATAGAAGAAAAGGGCAGAAAGTAAATGAATTGATGGATTATTAGTTTCAGGTTCCTTGGGCAAGACACTAAAGCCTGATGGAGGAAAACCATCATTGGTTCAGGGACTGCTGGCCTTGATAAGTTCATGGAGAATGTGAGAAAGTCTGGGGGCATGAACGGAGTTGTGGGGAGGAGGTGTGAGTGTGTAGATGTGTGTTTAGGATGGGCTGTGCAGACAGGGAGAATTAGAGAGATAAAATATGCAAAACCATAAGTGTGTGTATATGTATGCAGGTCTATAAATATACTTATGTATTTATTAAACTGATATTTAAATTAAACATTAAATATATGATATGTTGCATAATATACACATATAATTATAATATTAAACAAATTTATAAAAATACTATATGTACATAAGTATAAATATTATATATATACAATAATATGTACATATGTATATATAATATTTACACAGGAAAGGAGAGAAAGAAAAAATGATTACAATCATAAAAAGGGGATGGAGAATGATACAAATATTGGGGTAGAAATTAATTGAGTTCTCCATTCAATTATTTTTATCCTTAGTTGGAAAAATGGATGAGATGCATTTTTCAAATTGAGTTCAAGAGCTATTCTGTCTTTCACCCTCCTGAAAGTTCCACATTCGGAGTACATTTTATCTCATGGATGATATCTATATTCAGGCAATACTACCCATGTTTTTCCACACTGAAGCCAAAAATAAATAAACTATTTCAGAAAAGCAAGATGTATATAAGTTATGATATTTCCCCATTTTTATTTACCGGTAGTGATTTTTAAGCTTGTCACAGTCTGGATTTATTTCGCATGATTGTCATTATTATTTTTATTCATTTATTTTTTTGAGACAGAGTCTGTTATCTAGGCTAGAGTGCAGGGGCGCTATCTCAGCTCACTGCAACCTCCATCTCCCAGGTTCAAGTGATTCTCCAGCCTCAGCCTGTCTCGAGTAGCTGATACTACAGACAGGTGCCACTGCGTCTGGCTAATGTTTTTGTATTTTTAGGGGAGATGGGGTTTCACCATGTTGGCCAGGCTGGTCTCAAACTCCTGACCTTAGGTGATCTGCTCAACTCGGTCTCCCAAAGTCCTGAGATTACAGGGTGAGCCACTGTGCCTGGCCTACGTGATTATTTTTAAATGACCAGATTCATTCCACATTTCCAAATTATGGTTTGGTACTACAAATTTAGAAGAATAAAACCCCACAAGAATAAAAATCTAGCAATAAACTGTATGAATATATTTTAGTAAAAGGAGGAACAGATGATAAAATTCTACAAATTCAGTAAACTCTGAGAATAAATATGGAAGGTCTGTATTTCAACACCCTGCAAAGAGAATGAACCTTGAACTTTTTGACTGCTAATATACTTTCCTCCCAATTAAAAACTAGCAGTTTGAAAGGTTTACCTCATCAAAGATTCCCTATCTAGTTTTCAGTTGCAGTTAGCCTTTGAATTGACTTGCATATTTATCCCTGTTGAGGATGTTATACCTTTCTATCTCCTTTTAAATGAGGGAACTATGCCAACAATTCATCAGTATTTGCAAATTAATTATGATTAAACTTTCATAATAGGGATTATGGTTAATTGTTGATTCATCTCCCAGTCCTCCTTTTCATGACTAATTCTCTTATCAATTTGACCTGAGGTGGCAGATATCAAAATTTCCAATTAGACAACTTCTCTCACAATTACCTATGAGTCATGAATTTGATTTAGAAATGGGGTTGTGTGTGTATTTTTTCTATCACATATTAAACTCACAATCTGTAAAAAAGATTCAGGAGCATATTTGGGGAATGTTTTCTGTGATATTTATTTTTCTTCAGAAGCAGTGCCAATAATATTTCATTTATGGTTTTGATTCCCTATATGCCAATTACAGCACCCCCTTATGTTACCAGGGTCATTTATTTGGTATTTAGTTATGCTTCTGGTATTTGCTGTCATCATAAAGACCTGACATTTTCCCTAACTTCAACAGAAAAATTTAACGCTAATATTTAAATATATTCAGCAATTATACTTTTCGTTAATGAGACAGAAAGCCTCATCTCCGTGGAGGGCTAACATGATGATTTGGTGGAAAATAAAGTCCAGCCAGCTGTTAAGTTGAATTTAAAAATTTACCAATAACAATGAAATATTTTTTCCCTGTCCTGTACAGTCATATTAAAATTTGCAATATGAATATCCATATCTGGAATAGGGTTATTATACCATAAGTAACTCAAAACACAGCCTTTATGTTTTCAGTAAATGTTATTACAATTTATTATATATTAATTAGAAATAATATATAATAAAATATATAATTGTTTATATAAATAAATTATATATTAATTTGTATTAACACATAATATTTGCATTTAATAGAAATTGATATATAATAAAAATATTCACAAATCTGAAAATGGAAAATTTAGTGAATATTCAGCTTTTTTTTTTGAAATGGAGTTGCTCTGTCACCCAGGCTGGAGTGCAATGGCACAATCTCAGCCCACTGCAGCCTCTGCCTCCTGGGTTCAAGTGATTCTCCTGTCTCAGCCTCCCAAGTAGCTGGGAATACAGGTGACTGACACCATGCCTGGCTAATTTTTTTTTTTTTTTCCCTAGAGACAGGGTTTCACTCTGTTGACCAGGCTGGTCTTGAACTCCTAACTTCAAGTGATCCACCCACCCTGGCCTCCCAAAGTGCTGGGATTACAGGCATGAGCCACTGCAGCTGGCCAATATTCATCTTTTAATAAAATTTTTCTTTTAAGGATGATTTTACTATCAGATTCCTGTTGCTTTGAGGGCTTAGTTTTGCTTTAGTTTTATTGTTTTTTCAAATGTTTTTACTAAATGCAACTTGTCTCTAATTAAGATTTAGAATAATACATTTTGAACAGAAGTGTCACACATTTTATGTATATGCATAGTAATGGTGAGAATGCTCATAGTTATACTGTTCATCAGTAACCCTGTGAATAAAGGATTCACATTCAAGATGCTTTTGCTGGTCCATGGCAAAGTAAGAAATTGAGAACAACTCACATTTTTCATGAAAATAGAATACATTTTAAATAATTGTTCTCCATTTTGATATTATGGTTTTTAAAAAACTATTGTAGGTTTTTAAATGCCCTTTATTTTATGAAATAATAATCATGCTTTATTAAGTGATAGATGTAGATTGGAGGTTATTACTACTTGAAAAAACTAAAAGCTAGAACTCCTATATCAATTTCACAAATCTGCCACACATTTATATTTTTCACTTTTTTTTCTGAAGATGATGAATCTGGAAACCCCTGCTGTGAGTGGAATTTTGTTATTCCTATATCAGAGATGACACATAGTGTTGAAGTGATTTGTCTGTGGTCAGTTACGTACTAACTGTGGTCAGTTACGTACTAACTGTGGTCAGTTGCATGCTGGTGGGGCCAGGAGGAATATCTAGCTACCCCCTCTCTTTCATCACCAATATTATTAGAATACTTGGCTAGATTGCAATATTAGGTAGGAAAATTGAGAGTGCATGTTTGTTCCTTATAGTGGTGTGATTTGTTCATTATTTGAGATATTCCTTCAAATTTAAAGGCAATTGTATTCTAATCTAAAAGGCCGTTCATAAGCCACTCATTTGAAACTACTTCCCAGATAATTCGTTTGATGTCTCAGGACTGACAACCCAAACATCCTTAATTTATAACAAACAGAGGAGTTTAGGGAAGTTCACCTCCACTTTGTTTACATTTCAATGAGCAAATGTGCTGACTTTGCAGTGAGATGTGAGGAACTTAAGTGCCCTTATTGCTGTCTTGGAAATAGAAACAGGATCATCAACAGCCTCCACTCTTGTCATTCTCACTCATGTGTGAGCAAGGCCTATTTAGACGGGGAGAAAGAAAAAGACCTTATATTACTTGGAAAATGAGAAGCAAAGTTTTCAGACAAGCACCAATGACTAGGAACCAATACGCAATGAGGGCTTCACAGCCCAGGAGTAGTGGCTGCTCTTGTGAGACATGCAGAGCTAAAATGGGAAGAGAGGAGGACTGTGAGCTTTGAGGATTCTAAGAAGGAAGGGAGCTGCAACAAGGATCACAGGTCTGCAGGACTGCCACACCTCCTATTTTCCATCTGCAATCTCCCTTTTGATTTTCACAGTTGATCCTGTTCTCATATGTCTGGAGTGAAAGTAGGAGATCTGTGGTTTTTTGGTGGATGGAGTTTCATGTGCCATTGTCTCCTTGCTTGCCATTATTGTAAAGATTCCTCCACTAGACTTAGTGATGATGGCAACAGGCAAATGCTGGATGGGAGGCTTGGGTTATCTTGCATCATGTTATTAGTGATAGAAAATTGGCAAGATACAGGCTGGCTGTAAAAAGCTTCTGTAAGGGCCAAGGGAAAACTTCCCTTTTGCATTCTGAAGGTTTGATGAAAAATCAACTGAAAAGAGTTGGCTTAGTAGGTGAAAGGCATACAAAATTTATTTTAACATGCATAACATGGAAGAATCACAGGAGGGTGATTACCCAATAACCCAATGGGGACACAGATGTAGACACACCCTTCTTCACAAGGAAGGGGAGATGGGGAAAATATGGCAATTTGGAAAATAGTAAATGATTTTTAGGGGAATTCAAGACCCATACAATGGCCTGGGACAAAGTCTTTGGACCCACAGAACAGACAGTGGTTTTTAGCAGAAGTCTGTTCAGGTGTGTTGAGAGACATCAGTCCCTCTTCGTGTGAAATAAGTTAAATTAATGAAAACTTAGCACGAGGGCCAGAGGGAATTCTCTTCTTCTTGGTGAGATCAGACTGTAACCAGATAAAGGAGTAACAGGGTAAAACTTATTTCAGCATTTGCTGGCCTCCAAGAGCCTTTCATTTAAAATAATCAGCATACCAGGATGCTATATTTTCGGGTATTGGTTCCTGAGACTCAATATCTCATAGAATAAATTTAACAGCATTTTATGTTAAAGCCAGATACATATTGGACTCTCCAAGTCTTGATAAAAACGAATGTGTCAGAAGGCAAGTATTCAAGTATCTTTCAACCACAAGTCGGGATTTTATGTTTCTGTTAACAAGGTTGATGGCGTACTAGAGCTGTGTCAAATAGTTGTTGCTTTTTGGAATGATTGACACATCAATTAGATTTTAATATTATATAATATTAAATTATATTACACTTTACACTTAATTTGTGTAGTTACCTTTAAAGTTGCCCATTTTGGTTGATGGCCAGAGTGCTGACCAGCTCATTCTCCTGCAGCCTAAGCATTTAATCATTTTCCACTACTTTGTATGGTTCTATGAGACAGCTGTCTTGAAGAAATTCTGTTGAGAATCTGAATTGCTCTCTTTTTGTATTATTTTAATGTTTTATATCTACATGATGATTGTTTTAACAGTTTTATTATTTTTTACTTTAAAAAAACAACTATAAATTAATTATATAATCTTTTTTCCTCCTTTCACATGATGCTGCTAACTCAATAGAGAGACACCCAATTACAAACGCTATTGATGGAAAGAACACTTGGTGGCAGAGTCCCAGTATTAAGAATGGAATCGAATACCATTACGTGACAATTACACTGGATTTACAGCAGGTACAGTTCCTTTTTTTTTTTTTTTTGCCATTTCCACTTTTGAAATTGCATTTTACATTTTCTATTTGTTTAGTTAGTGGTTTGTGGGTGAAGGGATACCCTTTCTTATCACTCTCCATTATTTTCTTGATAAGGTGAACAAAGGGTCCTATTCATATGGCATATTGTCATTTAAAAGCATTCAGCATTTACTTCTAGAGCACAACTCAAATGAAAGCCTGCAAAGAGCTTAGAATTGAATTAGGTGCTGGCTCTGTTTTAGCTAGCTGGAGTTAATGATGAAAATATAAAGCAATAAAATTATACATAATAAAAATATGATAGTATCATTTTTAACTTTAAAAATAATAGTGCTCCCACTGTGCTGATGGTGTGTGCACTTAAAGGTTCTTGGATAACAAGGCTCTTGAACAAATTGCCTCTCATTACTGAGAGTTGAGAAATCTGTGGCAGTTGATTTCAAATTAAACTTGGGTGACTAAATGAAGTAACAAGCCTTGTAGTTATACAAAATTGATGTCGGAAGTTGTTCAAGTTTGTCTTACATAGGCCTGGGTGCCTTCTATGCTTAATTTCTTTCTTCCTTCTGTTCACAATTTTCAGGTCAGGCTGAAGTTATTAATCAGGAATCACCAGCATCTCAAATTATTTAGGCTTGCAATTAAGATGGAACATGGACAAATGCCACATTCCATCCTATTTGTAAGCATAAATAATGTGTGGGGGTGATGGTCAGGATAGTTAATGATAGATACCATACACTGTAAAGGTCATAGTTTTTATAAGTTGTCACTGTGTGGGGAAGCCCCAGCCAGTGGGCTAGATCAGCTCCAGACATTTTCCTAATGGATGCCATTTGCCACCACCATGTGAACAGTCTCCCTCCTCCAGGGTCTAGGTTCATTTTGGTGAGGGCTGCATACATTCAAGAGCCACAAGAAGCAGGGTGGAGCAAGCAAGCTGGCGGATTTCCCAGCAGACCTGCCCTCCACCTATATGAGACTCCTCAGGATATGAGGAACTGTTGTCAGCAGGGGCTCAGTGCTGCAGCTTACCAACTGGCATGTATTTATTTCTGCCCTTACTAGTATACAGCAGCTGAATGTCAGTCCTGAGTTAATAATATTTCCCAGGAAGTCTCAGAGCACTATCAGGACTGCACTGATCAATTATGCTTTAGGAAAATTAACCCTGTGCATGAATCCCCTGGGGATCTTAGCCTTAAAATGGACTGCATACCCCTCCTGATAAAGACAATTTGGTCCTTTATTAGTCATAGCAGTTCTCCCCCTTCATGTGATCATGGAAAGTCTACTCTCCCAATCAAGAATGAGGCTACTGTCCATTGACTCAGGTCATCTCCTGGGACATGGAATCAATGAATAGCAAGGCTTTATTGTTCTGGTTTATTCTCCATTTATTATTTTAGATTGCACGTGGAACAATGGAGTCAATTAATATAATTTGCACAAATCAATTAGACTACTCTTTGAGCTCAACAACATTGTTATTTACCTGTTATCAAACATGGCAGCATTTTTTCCCTCTAATTCACAACTGGATGGTGTAATCACAAGTTTTTACTAAATCATTTCTATCTAACTTGATGTTCTTATCAATTCAGCAAGTCAAAGAGTTTATCTGAAAGCCTGTTTTTCAGTGGTGTCATTTGCATTTTCCTAAATTTGCTTTGCAGACTCACTCATTCATTCCCATACAGTGTCTTAAGATACTCTTCTGTGACACATTTTTATATTTTAATCTCTTAAAAATAACAGAAACTATTGCATTTTTTAAATTAAATCACTATAGATTACAGTGGGTTTTTTTTCTTTTTTTACATTTCAACATTCAAGATAAGCATTTGGAAAACAGCAATTTATTTGGAAGAAAGTAGTTACATATTTTATAAGTAGATTGTTCTTAGATATGTATTACTAAGGGATTATTAACTTTTCTCAATTCTATTTACTCACAGCATATTTTAAGCAAGTGATTTAATCATGCTGTGCCTCAACTTTTAGATTAGGAGAATAAATATTACATTATCTTGGCAAGAAAATTAAAATAATGATTTTAGATTAGCAGAATAAATATTACAATATCTTGACAAGAAAATTAAAATGATAATTGAAATATAGCAACTAAAGTCCATCTCACAATTACAGCTATGATAAGGACCTAGAGTCAGCATGGACTTGAAGAAAAGCTCAATTGTTCCAGTGATGTGTAGGTAAAAACTCAGTATAATGGCGAACAAAAATACACAACAATTTAAAAGAGACAGAAATAGGGACTCGAAGGTTAATAAGATGTCCAAAATATTCTATTTTGGTCTTTTTCCCACCAGATTTCACCAGAACACATCATTATGTCTAATTATATTTATTTCTTTTAAAATCTGGCCATTATCTCCACCCTGCCCTTTGATTTGTTTCAGGAGAAAGCTGATTGGCAGGTGGGGTAAAACAGAGGGGCAGCTTTTCAGTAGACTTTTCAAACATAGATTGAGGTCATACTCACTCCTGGCTAATCCAGGAATGCTATTAGTTAGTGAAGCTTATGTCTTAACTAGGAGTCTTCTGCCCCTCAATAAACAATTCATTCTCTTCATGGTCTATCCCTCAAAACTAAGAATGCATTTATCAAACTAGATTATCATGCAACTACAGAGATCACCCTCCACATATTCTTAACCTAAATATTTTATTCACTAATCTTGCAGAGAAAAATTTAGTGGGACAGGTTAACAGTTTTAACTGAAAGTTATGTTTTAGAAAAAGGATAAATTAGTATTTCTATGCAAATATTACTATACTTTTAGAATACATGTTAATAGCATAAAATAATTTTTTCTAAAGCCTAGAATCATTAAAGTAATGGTTAAACATTTCTGTAATAATAAAACATAAAAATACATGGAAGTACTTTATATATTCAAGTTTTAACAATCATTTGAACATGTTAAAGGTGATCCAATTTTCAGTCTTGAAGGATGGTCATTATTCTTTCATATCGAATTCTTTCCTCATGCTCTTCTTACTGATTCCTATTAAATGATGTGTTGTATAAGGAGAGAATTTTGGAAATACATGGAAATTAAATGACATGCTCCCAAACAACCTATGGATCAAAGAAGAAATTAAAAGAGAAATTTAAAAATAACTGGAGACAAATGAGAATGGACACACTAGCATTGATGAGAAGAAGCAAAAGTAGTTCCAAGAAGAAACTTTATAGTAATAAATACCTACATCAAAAAGAAGAAAGTTCTAAAATTAACAACCTAAGGTAACACTTCAAGAAACCAAAAAAAAAAAAAAAAAAAAAAAAGAAAGAAAGGAAAAAGAAAGAATAAACTAGGCCTAGAAGTAGGAGAAAGAAGGAAATAATAAAAGTCTAGGTAGAAATGAAATAGAGACTAAGGAAACAATGGCAGATATTAGCAAAACTGCCACTTGGGTTTTGGAAAAGATAAGCGAAATTGACAAAACTTTAGCTAAACTTACTAAGAAAAAAAGAGAGAAACTCAGATAAGATCTGAATGGAAAGAGGAGACAATATAACTGATACTTCAGAAATACAAAGGATCATAAGAGACTACTCTGAACAATTATATGCCAACAAACTGGATAACCTAGAAGGAATAGACAAATTCCTAGACATATAACCTACCAACACTGAATCATGAAGAAATAGATATGAGCAGATCAGTGAAAAGGAGAGTATATCTGTAACAAGAAATACCCTATCTAAGAAAAGTCCAGAACCTGATGGTTTTACTGCTGAATTCTACCAAACATTTAAGGAACTAATACCAATTCTTCTTAAAATCCTTCAAATAACTGAAGATAAGGGACCACTTCCAAACTTATTTTATAAGCCCAGCATTACCGTGATACCAAAGCCAAAGACACTACAAGAAAAGAACGTTACAGATCAATATTTTTGGTGAACATAGGTGCAAAAATCCTCAACAAAATACTAGCCAACGAAATTTAACAGCACATTAAAAGGATAATTCACTGTGATCAAGTGGGATTAATCTCAGGGATGCCATGATTCCACCTTTGCAAATCTATAAATGTGATACCTTACATTAGTAAAATGAAGGACAAAAACCATATGATCATCTCAATAGATGCACAAAAAGCATTTGACAAAATTCAACATCTTTAATGATAAAAGCTGCCAACAAATTAGCTTTAGAAGGAGTGTACCTGAACATAATAAAGACTGTATATGACAAATCCATAGCTAACATACCCAGTGGTGAAAAGCTGAAAGGTTTTTCTCTAAGATCAAGAATAAGACAGGGATATCTACTTGTAGCACTTCTATTCAGCATAATACTGGAAGCCCTAGACAGAGAAATCATGCAAGAAAGGAAATAAAATTGGCATCGAAATTGAAAAAGAAAAAAATAAATTGTCTCTTTTTGCAGATGACATAATCTTATATTAGAAAATCCTGACTCCACCAAAATAACTGTTAGAGCTAATAAACAAATTCTGTAAATTAGCAGGATACAAAATCAACATTAAAAAATTAGCAACGTTTCCATACACTAACAAGTAACTATCCTTAAAAAATTAATGAAATAATCCCATTCACAATAGCTAAAAAAAAAAAAACTTGGTAATAAATTTAACCAAGAGGATTGATATGGTTTGGCACTCTGTCCCCACCCAAATCTCATCTTGAATTGTACTCCAATAATTCCCATGTGTTTTGGGAGGGACTTGGTGGGAGATGGTTGAATCATAGTAGTGTTTTCTCCCATGCTATTCTCATGGTAGTGAATAAGTCTCATGAGATCTGGTAGTTTTATCAGGGGCTTCCGCTTTTGCATCTTCACCATTCTCTCTTTGCCTACTGCCATCCATGTAAGACAGGACTTGCTCCTCGTTGCCTTCCATCATGATTGTGAGGCTCCCCCAGTCACGTGGAACTGTAAATCCAATTAAACCTCTTTCTTTTGTAAATTGCCAAGTCTCAAG